TATAATAAAATACCAATATAAAATTATTTAAAAAAAGTATATATCGTCTTTCTAAATCATTCCCAAACATAAGATTGTTGTTTAGGCCATACATACCACGTACTATTAGAATAGGTACCTCTTAGTTTCAAAATACTTACAGTATAAATGATTTGTAATTTTACAGGTTGTTACTTGTTACCCCTTTATTCCACAAATGTCGCATATTATTCCCTTACCTACACGGAGGCACTGAATATGTACACTATAATTACAAAAAAGTTACGCTGTAACTTCAGTTTACTTACACAGTTCTTTGCAGGTTGCATATCTGGTTGTTACCCCCTTATTACCCAAACGTAACACATTGTTCCCTTATACCTACATGTACGTTCTTTTTAGGTACACTATAATTACAGAAACGTACACCGTAAATTCAGTATACTTACGTAGTTCTTTGTGGGTTGTAATCTAAAGCGTTACCTAAGTAACTAAGCTGTTTTATGGATGGTAACTGTAATATTATTACCAAAATCTTATTAGTAATAAGTTATACTACTAGTTACTGCAAAAAGTAATATTACAGTAACTAAGTTACTAGTAACTAGTTACTGCCCAACACAGATTATGGGTGCTATGGTTAACATCGATTGTAAACTCATTATTGTGGTCCACTGTGGGATTGAATGAGTGCACTATGGCTTCGGACGTCACTACACATTGCGGTCTCCTCAAATAGTGCCCTATTTAAAAGTATAAAGGGTGATTTCTGACACAGCCTGGTAATCCCGAACACCTTGATGATCTGGTTCAGGTGTGTTTAATAGGGTTAATAGCATCTGCAGGACAGAGCTTTTGCTAAAGTTTTGCGGATTCATTGAATAGATCCAAAATACAGAATACACGATTGCTGACTGTTGAGTGTTGATTAAAACCAACAATGTAGCTGAGAAGATGATAGGGACAGCATGATTTTTGGTAATGTTGTAGGTTTATGCTTATGTGCATGTTTATAGGTTTTGTAGGCAAATATAAATTGTCTACATATAAATTTCTTTAAAAAACTAACTTTTTTATTTATTTATTCATTAAATAGGAGGTGCTGTAGCTCAGTGGTTCTCAAACCTCTCCATGAAGTACCCCCAGCACTGCACATTTTGTATGTCTCCCTATATCTGACACACCCACTTCAGGTCAGTTGGAGACCACTAATGCTGATGAGTTGAATCAGGTGTGATAGATGAGGGAGACATACAAAATGTGCAGGGCTGGGGGTACTCCAGGACAGGTTTGAGAACCACTGCAGTGTAGCTGATACTGAAACAAAATGAGTGTTCAACAGTAAGGGTCAATAAGGTTTAAACCCCTCCCAGAAATTTGTTTCTTGAATGAACAAATGGATACTTGACATACTAAAATAACAAACTAGATTTAATAATTTTAATAAAATAAAAAAATACAAACATACAACAAAAGTAATCCAATTTAAATAAAATGAATTAAATTAAAATGTACAAATAAATACATTTAAAATATCAATAATAGTATATTGGTGCTAAAACAAAACTGAGCAATTCTACATTCGATTTAATTAAATATTTGTTTGTTTGATTCCTTTCTTTCTTTTTTTTTTTTTTCCTCAAGGAACCCACATTTGGGATACCGAGCAGTGATGGGCAAACTTGGCCCTTCCAGGCCACTTTCCTGCAAAGATTTGATCCAACCCAGATAAAACTCACCTGCCTGTAGCCTTCTAGTAGTCTTGAATACAATAGGCTTGTTTGAGATGCGCCTCGCCTTGCCTGAAATGTAGGTGAGAGTAGGCGGCTGCAGTGAGGGGAGGAGTGAAATAAGCGCAGGCAAGACGGACAGTTC